TCTTCATCTGCCGCTACTCCATCGCAGGAAAGCCTGCCAGGCTTCTCACTGCTGCGCGCCCCCACCTCCCGCTGTGCCAGGGGAGGGGGAGAGAAAGAAGTCGAAGAAAACCTACCCGGCTGCCGTGGGGGCCTACTTTCCAGCCTGTTCTGAAGCTGCGGGGCCTCCCGCCGTCGCGCACCCCACTTCCCGCCGTGCCGGGACATTATTTACATTTCTCACGTATATCGTGTAAATATAGCAATAAAGATAAGAGCCTCTCCAGCTTAGAAGCTGATGCCTTCAGGAAGACGCTTGAGAGGTCGAAGAAGATTGAGATGAGGAAGGTGATTTATCTCAAGACACCAACACTCCAGTCACACCCAGTCAGTTTGAGACAGGAGTTTGAAAAACCACGCCTTGTGTTCTAATCTTTGTCCTATGTATTTGAATATGCATTTCATAGAGATGTGCTTTAATATGGATATTTTAAAGGATGTTTTAGATGACTTGATGTGTTTAGCTGTCGTAACCTGCCTTCAGCCACGAGGAGAGGCGGTAACAAAATAAAATCATCATCATCATCATTTTAAATCATGAAAATGACATCTGTAAACACAGAGGGACAGCTGTCTCCAAATGTGGGATTCAGATGTGCGGTAATTAAAACTAAAGTCATATCCAAAAAAAGCAATAGATGGTGTAAAGACAATATATATTTAAGAACGGAAGCGTAAAACTCAAACCCAGAGCGATGCGACTAACACAATAGGTTGGAAAATGGTACTGAAAAGGACCTTAGAGGATGCCTTGAACCCCAGCTCCATCTGCCTTTCCAGTGGGAGGTTTCGCCCTTCCGAATCCCCTTTTCGTAAACATGCCTTTCATTAAGACAAAGAGAAACATAGTAGGGGGTCGGGTAAGGGGGGGTAGGTAGAAAGGTAGGCAAGAACACAATGTATTTATGGACAATGAAATTAGGAAGGTAGTAATATGTGAGAATTTTAGAGATACGAAGGAAAGTACTTAAGCAACTAGTGCAGTAGATATTTCAAGTCGTTGGAAAATTAGTTGAGGTGTTTGTAAAGTTTGTAATGTTGCAATGTCTGTTTTTTGTATGTGCTGTTAATTGTTTTTTTTATAATGGAAATCAATAAAAATTTATTCAAAAAGAAAAAGAGAAACATAGTAAGTTTACAACACATTATGCTAAAACCATACAGTTCATTGAGGAGCTGCCACAACTACAAAAATAAATCAGGAAAAGCACACACCACTCAAACACTCCTGTACGGACACACAAAGTACACGAACCAATGAACAAACAGGCCTGGGTCTAATTCTGAGAACTTCCCACCGGGCTGATTGTGTCCCTGGTCATTCTCCTCCCCTCAGATACTCACGACAGAAGTGGAGTGCGGGGGCGTTCAAGTCTAAGTACTGTTATGATATGTTTATCTGCCCAATTTGTTGAATGAACTGCAGTAATTACCACTAAAATGAAAAAGTTGATAAAAGTAAGGAAATAAAATGTATTAGTAAAAAAATTTGCGATGAAATACATGGAGCAGCTACAGAGGAAATGACACAAGGATTATTTATACAGAAAGATTATATGAAACCTATCTGTATATATTATTATATGTATTGAAAATCTTATATGGAGTTGGTTTAACCTCTGTCTGGCTACTTAAACTGAATTACAGTGTCACGAAAGGATGCGTGTCTAAAACGTGACACCAACATGAAAAGTTTGGAAAGCTCTGCCTTAGAGTCTCTCTGGGATCAATGACCACAGTTCCCTCCAATGGGAAGTCTATGTAGACGTCAACTCTCAGGGACGCTCTTTCCACATGCCATCTCTCAGGGATACTTGGATTGTGCTTTTCCTGCAAGGCGAGGGGTTCTCATTATTACATTTATTTATATCCCGCTTTTTCTCTCCATTCGGACACTCAAAGTGGCTCACAAATTAACAGTGTTGCAATACAACTTAAAATATACAAATATTGAAACTGCATTGAACATCATTAATATTTTTTAAAAATTGGTCAAATCCATAAAAGCACATGAAGCTTATAAAATCATTGCAGGATTGGATGTCCCATGTCATCTCTTCCAACTCATATTATTCTATGATTCTATGACTTTATGTTATGTCTATATATGTTTTCTCCCCAGGGTGAGTTCTTTGATGTTTATGTAGAGGTGAACTACAAGTGAAGCTCTGTCCACGCTCCAGGCATTTATAGGGTTGCTCCCCAATGTGTGTGCTTTCATGTGAACGTAGTGGTCTACTCTGAGTGAAGTTCAGGCCACACTCCAAGCATTCATAAGGTTTTTCCCCCAGTGTGGGTCAAGGCATGTATAGGGTTTCTTCCCTCATGTGAGTCCTTTGATGTTTATGTAGACTCGAATTTTGAGTGAAACTCTGTCCACATTCCAGGCATTTATAGGGTTTCTGCCCAGTGTGAATCCTTTGATGCCTACGTAGACTTGAACTAAAAGCAAAGCTCTGACCACATTCCAGGCATGTATAGGGTTTGTCCTCAGTGTGAGTCCTTTCATGTGAATGTAGATGTGAACGATGAGCAAATCTCTGTCCACACTCCACGCAGGAATAGGGTTTCTACCCAGTGTGAGTCTTTTTATGTGAATGCAAACCTGAAACCTGAGTAAAGCTCTGACCATATTCCAGGCATTTATAGGCTTTCTCACCAGTGTGAGTCCTTTGGTGTCTATGTAGATTGGAATTACTAATGAAAGTCTGTCCACATTCCAGGCATGTATAGGGTTTCTCCCCAGTGTGAGTCCTTTTATGTGAATGCAGACCTGAACTCTGAGTGAAGCTCTGTCCACACTCCAGGCAGTTATAGGGTTTCTCCCCAGTGTGAGTCCTTTCATGTGAACGTAGATGTGAACGACGAGCAAAGCTCTGGCCACACTCCAGGCACGTATAGGGTTTCTCCCCAGCGTGAGTCTTTACATGTCGCTGCAGATTATCACTCCGAGTGAAGCTCTTTCCGCACTCCAGGCAGGAATAGGGTTTCTCCCCAGTGTGAATCCTTTGATGTGTACGTAAACTTGAACTATGAGTGAAGCTTTGACCACATTCCAGGCATTTATAAGGTTTTTCCCCAATGTGAATCCTTTGATGTGTACGTAGACTTGAATTATGAGTGAACCTCTGTCCACACTCCAGGCACGTATAGGGTTTCTCCCCTGTGTGAGTCCTTTGATGTCTATGTAGACTGGAATTATGAGTGAAAGTCTGTCCACATTCCAGGCATTTATAGAGTTTCTCTCCAGTGTGAGTCGTTTTATGTGAATGCAAACCTGGATTATGAGCGAAGCTCTGTCCACACTCTAGGCACGTACAGGGTTTCTCCCCAGTGTGAGTCTTTTCATGTCTATGTAGATGGCCACTCACAGTGAAGCTTTGTCCACATTCCTGGCATTTATAGGGTTTCTCCCCTGTGTGAATGCTTTGATGTGTACGTAGATTTGAACTCTCAGTGAAGCTCCGACTACATTCCTGGCAATTATAGAGTTTCTCCCCAGTGTGAATCCTTTGATGTGTACGTAGATGAGAACTCTGATTGAAGCTTTGTCCACATTCCAGGCATTTATAGGGTTTCTCCCCAGTGTGAATCCTTTGATGTGTACGTAGATTTGAACTCTGAGTGAAGCTCTGACCACATTCCAGGCATTTGTGGGGTTTCTGTCCAGTGTGAATCCTTTGATGTCTATGTAGACATGAACTTTGAGCAAAGCTCTGTCCACATTCCAAGCATTTATAGGGTTTCTCTCCAGTGTGAGTCCTTTTATGTGTATGCAGACCTGAACTATGAGCAAAGCTCTGTCCACATTCCTGGCATTTATAGGGTTTCTCCCCAGTGTGAGTCCTTTGATGCCTACGTAGACTTGAAATAAAAGCAAAGCTCTGTCCACACTCCAGGCATTTATAGGGTTTCTCCCCAGTGTGAGTCTTTACATGTTGCTGCAGATTATCCCTCCGAGCAAAGCTCTGTCCACACTCCAGGCAGGAATAGGGTTTTTCCTCCATGTCAGCAATGATATGGGTGTTTCATTTAAATACAGATACTTGACTCTTCTTTATTCCTTTGTTATCTGTAAGTGAAGTCAAGAATTCAGCAAGATCATCGCCTCAAGAGGATTTCTTCTCCCTGTATTATTGGTTTCCTTACTGCATCCAAGAGGTCGCTCCAAAGAGTCCTCACTTCCCTGGTGAAGAAAGAAGAGAAAGATCAAGGATGGAAGCCAGAGACCTTCTCTACCTCCAAGATTTCCCCCTTCCCCTTCATGGGTCACGTTGAGAATGGGAATACCAAGAAAGGCCGACACTGGGGCCTCAAGCACATATCCAGAGACCAGCCGTGGGAATCAATGGTTCTTTAAAAAGAAGGGAATGGATTCAGAAGGAGAGAGGGATGGAGGAAGACAAAAAGGAACGAGAGAAGGAAAAATGGGGAAATCCTAATTCTGGAGCATCATATTGATTTTATTGGGATGAAGAGAAATGTGGAAAAGGAATGGGAGGCAGGCAGGCAGGCTGGGAGAAAGGAGCGGTCCTTGGCAAGACTCAAGGGCACCGTTCGCTGGATCATGTGTGTCCCTGAATGACCAGGAATGGGCTCAATGCTAAGAAGGGACACCAAGATGGCTGTGCTGCCTCCCTTCCCATCACGAGTCCCAGGTCTGCTTTCTGAGCATCCCAAATTGCGTGGGGTGTTGTAGGTTTTTCAGGTTGTATGGCCATGTTCTAGAAGCATTTTCTCCTGACGTTTTGCCTGCATCTGTGGCAGGCTTCCTCAGAGGTTGTGAGGTTTGATAGATCAAGGTGGCCAACTGAAACATTCGCACCTGGCTCCAACAGACAAGAGTTCTTTCTCCCACCCTGGACCTTCCACAGATATATAAACCCAACTTTCCAGTTTCCAACAAACCTCACAACCTCTGAGGATGCCTGCCAGAGATGCACCACCAGTGTTCAAATTTGGGCATATTGAATATTCATGCCACGTTTGGTCCAGATCCATAGTTGTTTGGGTTCACAATGCTCTCCAGATGTAGGTAAACTACATCTCCCTTAAGTCACTGTCAATTCCTCCCAAACCCCTCCAGTATTTTTTTTTTTGACATGGGAGTTCTGTGTGGAGGTCTCAGTGGTCTATGGAAGTCAGAGCTGAATCGGTTGAAGGTACTGCAAATCCCATCATCTGTTTTCCATACTCCCCCAAACATATTTTTCTTATTAATCATGATGCTTTAATTATGCTGAATTTGTAACAATGAAAACACATCCTGCATATCAGATATTTACATTACAATTCGTAACAGTAGCAAAATTACAGTTATAAAGGAGCAACAAAAAGAATTTTATGGTTGGGGGTCCCCACACCCTGAGGAGCCATGGCAGTCCCCTCGGTCTTAAGGTTCTGCTGATTAATGCCAGATCCGTTAATGGTAAGACCTCTGCCATTCAGGACTTGATTCTGGATGAGAGAGCGGATCTGGCATGCATCACGGAAACCTGGCTGGATGAGCTGGGGGGAGTAAATCTTACTCAGCTGTGCCCACCGGGCTTTGGGGTGCATCAGCAGGCCAGACAGGGGGGGCGGAGAGGAGGGGTCGCAGTGGTCTTTCGGCAATCCATCGCCGTGACCAGATGTGCTGTACCGCAAGCACCTGGGTTTGAGTGTGTCCACCTGAGGGTGGGGAACCGTGACAGTGTGGGGCTTCTGCTGGTGTACCGCCCACCCCGCGACCCAGCAGTTTCCCTGTCTGAGCTAGCGGAAGTGGTCTCTAATTCGGCCCTGGTCTCCCAGCGCTTGGTGGTGCTGGGAGATTTTAACATTCATGCTGAGACCTCTTTGTCTGGCGCAGCTCAGGACTTTATGGCTGCCATGACGACCATAGGACTGTCACAAATTATATCAGGACCCACCCACCAGGCTGGACACACCCTCGACCTAGTTTTTGTGGCGGACAGTGGTATGATCAGAGTGGAAGAACAAAACATCCTTCCAGTGTCATGGTCTGATCACTATCTGGTCAGCTTTAGACTCGCTGCGACCCCTAACCTTCGCAGGGGTGGAGGACAAATTAAGATGGTCCGCCCCAGGAGACTGATGGATCCAGATGGATTCCTGAGGAATCTTGGGGTTCTTCCTGCCATGGAGCCTGGCGATCCTGTTGACACCTTGGTCGACCTTTACAATAAGGAGATGTCCAGGGCGATAGATACGATCGCTCCCAAACGCCCCATCTCGTTGCGTCATGACATGCCGTCTCCATGGTTCACCGAGGAGTTGGCTGTGATGAAGCACACGAGAAGGGGGCTAGAGCGCAAGTGGAGGAAATCTCGGGATGTGTCTGATCAAGCACGGGCTAGGGCCTCTCTTAGGGCATACTCCGTGGCTATACGGGTGGCCAGGGAATCTTTCACGACCGCCCGTATAGCGTCTGCAGCAAATAGGTCATCAGAGCTGTTTCGGGTTGTCGGGGAGCTCCTTCATCCACCTGTGGCGGAGGAGATCTCTGACGACCCAGCAGCTCGGTGTTGCGATTTCGCACACCATTTTGCAGGCAAAGTTGCCCAGATACGTCTTGAGCTCGACTCCAATTTCATCGCAGTGCCAGAGAAGGTGACTGAGGCATCTGCTTGTCCAATTTTGTGGGATTCTTTTCGGCTTGTTCTTCCTGAGACTGTGGAGGAGGTCCTTGGGGCTGTGAGGGCGACCACTTCGGCCCTAGACCCTTGCCCATCCTGGCTTATCAAATCTGCCAAGGAGGGTTTGGTTGATTGGTTTGTGTGGATTATTAACGCATCGTTGGAGCAAGGGATTTTTCCATCTAATTTGAAGCAGGCTGTGGTCCGCCCACTCCTTAAAAAGCCTTCCCTTGACTCTACGGTGCTGAACAATTACAGGCCGATCTCCAACCTCCCTTTTTTGGGTAAGGTGCTGGAGCGGGTGGTCGCCCTCCAGCTCCAGGGCTTCCTGGATGACATCAATTACCTAGATCAGGCACAGTCTGGTTTCAGGCCTGGTCACGGCACCGAGACAGCCTTGGTCGCCTTGGTGGATGACCTCCGTAGAGGACTGGACAGGGGGAGTGTGACCCTGCTGGTTCTCTTGGACATCTCAGCGGCTTTCGATACCATCGATCATGGTATCCTTCTGGGTTGCTCTGGGATGGGTCTCGGGGGCACGGTTCTGTCGTGGCTCCGGTCCTTCCTGGAGGGACGAACCCAGATGGTGAAGCTGGGAGACACCTGCTCGGACCCCTGGCCTTTGACCTGTGGGGTCCCGCAAGGCTCTATTCTATCTCCCATGCTTTTTAACATCTACATGAAACCGCTGGGAGAGGTCATCCGGAGTTTTACGCAGATGACGCACAACTCTACTACTCCTTTCCACCTACTTCCAAGGAGGCCTCTCGGGTGCTGGACGAGTGCCTGGCCGCTGTGTCGATCTGGATGAGGAGAACAAGCTGAAGATCAATCCCGACAAGACAGAGGTCCTCCTGGTCGATCGTAAACCGGATCGGGGTATAGGGTGGCAACCTGTGTTGGACGGGGTTACACTCCCCCTGAAGCCACAGGTCTGTAGCTTGGGAGTCCTCCTGGACTCATCGCTCACGCTTGAGGCTCAGGCGTCGGCGGTGGCTGGGAGGGCTTTTGCACAACTGAGACTTGTGCGCCAGCTGCGCCCGTATCTCGCTAAGGCTGATCTGGCCGGGGTGGTCCATGCCTTAGTCACCTCTAGACTGGATTACTGCAATGCGCTCTACATGGGGCTGCCCTTGAAAACGGCTCGGAAATTCCAATTGGTCCAACGGGCAGCAGCCAGGATGTTAACTGGGGCCCATTACAGAGAGAGGTCAACCCTCCTGTTTAAGGAGCTCCACTGGCTGCCGTTTATTTTCCGAGCCCAATTTAAGGTGCAGGTGCTTACCTACAAAGCCCTGAACGGTTTGGGACCACCCTACCTGCGTGACTGCAACAGAGAATAATTCTTTCTCCCACCCTGGACCTTCCACAGATATATAAACCCAATTTTCCTAGTTTCCAACAAACCTCACAACCTCTGAGGATGCCTGCCAGGGATGCGGGCAAAACATCAGGAGAGAATGCTTCCAGAACATGGCCATACAACCCAAAAAACCTACAATAACCCAGTTATTCCAGCCCTGAAAGTCTTTGACAATACACCAAATTTAGATGCCACCAAATTTTCTGCCATTTCCCCAAGGAATCCTGCATCTGACCAAGACCCTACCTCTCCACCACCGAATCCAAAACCTTTGGGCCATTCCTTCCCCTGGCACAGTCACAGGATGGCATGCAAAGGCAAGCTCATCTCCCTTTTCCGGACAGCACCTTCCACCTTTGCCCTCTCCCCCCTTTTCTTCCTTGTCTTTGCAGTGACCAACGCAATAAATCCCAACCTGGGAAGAAAGGGCATCTGCTCTGAGCGATCCTCTCATAGAAGCCACCTCAACAATGCCCAAATAAGCATCTGCAAAACAGCCTGAAAGGGGGAAAGTCCTGGGAAGTGGGATTTAGACAAGAGAACAGTTTTTGATGAACTTCAAAGGAAAACGACGTGAGAGACTGTGAAGCAGGGGTCCTCAAACTAAGGCCCGGGGTCCGGATGCGGACCTCCAAGGTCATTTACCCGGCCCTCACTCAGGGTCAACCTAAGTCTGAAAAGATGTGAAAGCACACAACAACAATCCTATCTCATCACCCAAAAGCAGGCCTCATTAATTCAGACCCGCATTGCGCAAGAAGCGTAGCGTCCCAGCTATCCTACTTTGGCCGCTCTCTCTTTCTTTCTCTCACCCTGGACATCATTCCACAGGAATATAGATAAACCTCATCAACAGCTGGTAAACTGGCTGGGATTTCTCGGAGTTGTAGGCCAAAAACATCTGGGGACCTCAGGTTGAGAACCACTGCCTTAGAGGATGCCTTCAACCCCGGCTCCATCTGCCTTTCCCACAGGAGGTTTACGCCCTTCAAAAGCCCCTTTTCGTAAA